ATATCTGCTGCATCCAGAAAGTGCTACTATAGAGTAGGTCTAATATTTTCCTTTTTTTTTGGTTAGAGTAGGAAAACGCCTTATAGACACTGGTGATAAACAACAATGTAAAAAAATTTTTAAAAACATTTTTAAAATTTATTTGTTTTTTCAAACACATTTTTATGCTTAAAAGTCTTTGAATAAATCAAATTCAAATTGAGAAACTAAAGTCTAATTATTACATTCGTTCGTTTAAGCTTTGCAAAGCTTTCAACATACAAGTATTGCTAATAGCACTGATACAAAAAATCAAAGTGGTATTCACTGAAATACTTCATAAATTCGCATGATCGGTCGTTCAGGAAGGCTGAGCTTCCTTTTTCGGGTAGATCAGACGCAAATTAAAAACAGCCTTGACTTTTACTGACAAAGACCAACCATATGCCTTACTTTTTTCAACTTTTTATGTCGTTATTTTAGTAAAACAAGTGAAACTTACGATTGAAAAAAACACTCAACAGGTACAGCTTTCTTGCTAAATTTATTCAATAGCGAATACAGCGACGGCTATGTCACTTAACGTCGACTACCAATTTCGATAGACCAACTAATTAAACGATGCACAGCAGCCAGTTTGTCGTTATAGTCTTCTTACCTGTAGTATGACATCTTACACTGATTAAAGTCAACAAAAAACAGTTTGTTCCATTGCTAAAGGTGATGAACGCAATTTATACAGCGCTGTCTTTGTAACTAAACCTTAAATTATTTCTTTATCTGAGTAGTGGCTTTCCTTCTCAATTAGTAGTGTTCAGTGTATTACAGACCACTTTTTCAGGCCCATTATTGACTTAAATAAAGTGGTTTACTCCAAACTGGTCTCTCCAGTAAGGAACAAGACGGTAAAAATTGAAAAAGAACAGTCAAGTTGCTACACAAAATTCGCTAGAATATAAGTTTAATTGTGTACCTGAGAATACAAATTACAAATTAATGAGGGGAAGTTGCTACAAAGAATTTTTTAACTGAAAAACAGTTTCTGTAATTCTCTGTGTAGAAGAAAATTGATAAATAAACCACAGTAATAGTCATCCAAAACTGAGAAAATTATAGAGCCGAGAGTAAATCTTGTCAAACCCAGTTAGCACTTTGCAAATGACAATACTTTATATGAATTTCTTTTCAAAAATTACAGAAGAAGTTTAACCCATGATCTACACGACAATGCATTGGTAATTGGAACTGCTATTGCAATAGGGTGACCGCTGATGCTGTTTTTTAATGACTGCTATGAATCGGAGCTCTTCCAATAAAAATAAAAAACAGCATATAGACATACTTAGTTTGTTGATTACTTCAACAATTAGTTTTACATCGGTTTGCTAAGATCGTTGATAGCAATCAGTTGTTCCAGGTTGTTGTTGCAAAGCAACAATAAGTGTTGCTAGTGCACATACATAAAAGAATAAAGGTATTCACTAGTATTCAGAAATACTCATAAATTGAAAGAAATTTAATAGAGCCTTTTGTATAACCCAGATGGCTGCAATGGAATGTCATTCAAGGAATACAAAAGGCTGACAATGTACGTGATAACACATCAACAAATAAAACCCTATTTGAGCAAAGTGTAGGAAGCCTTCAAGAAATTTCTTACCTTAGTTTTCATCAGATTTTGAATGCTTTTCGGAATTCCGTTTATCGTGAGTTGGAAGTATGAGAAATTGCCTATCTCATCTTCAATGTTCGTGCCTTCTTTATCCACTTCCATGAGGATGGGGCTGTGGCCGAATAATTCTTTACAATATCTAGAACCATCATACAAATTTTGTTCTGTAATTGGGATACAATTTATCGCAACGGAATCTAGAAATATTTCTCGTTCACCCACCAAAAGTCCGCTTTAGTTCCTTCTCCTTGAAACAATATCAATATAATTTCTGATATCTTCTTGTTTTTATTAATAATTTTTTGATTGAATATAAAAATATAATACTTCTCATTATTATTATCAGAATAACTCTCTGAATAAACTCTTCTCAAAGCTAAAAAGTGACGCCTACATTCGTTTGTAGTACATTATGTTTATTTTCCAATTTTTTGCAGTCTATATGAGCCAATGTATATCCATAATCCGTAGAGCATTTATATTTCAAATAACTCCTGAGACACAATTGTAACATCCAGTAATGGATATTACTTATATTTCTTTGGAGTTTTATACCTCCTAGAAAATTTGCTTTTGTAAAAATTTTCTATCTTGAGCTATAATAGTAAGTCCTGGTAAGGCTTTTGGGAATAATATGTCAGGAATTGAAATAAGCTTTCCCAAGTCGTGGTCATGACATGAGCATGCCACTGACGTTTCACCATTGCTGCCGGCAGCTGACGGTTCATGGTTTTTGCCCGCTCTCGCGTACCACACTGAAGTGAATCAATTAAGCCGGCTAACTTAACTCCTGAGAGTGATGCCTCAATCATCACAGTATGTTTGTTATCTGACATAAAATGTTTACCTAGAATTGGTAATAAAGGTACATTTACATTTATCATACTAATACTTTAGGCTTGTACTTTTACAGTACTTCCTTTTTGACTTTTTTTTTGTGAAATTGTTTTGTGTTGTTGGATTATCTTGACCATAAGATCAACTGATACTAACCAAACAGAACAAGTAAAAATTTCGTAAATTTTCTCATTTAACGATGATGCATAATTTCTGTAAAAAAGACATTCTGACGAGCAAAAAAAAACACTCACAGTCAGCACATCCACATAATTCTAAACAAAAAGTAAATTCTAAATTATTATTTGGTTCACTGTTAAATTCAAAAATTTTTTAACCCAGATTGATAGCTTCGCATTTATCGCTTTTACAAGAACCTAGAGTGGCACATTTTTCTGTAGAAACTGTTTTAATTTCATAAGACCTAGTAAAATATTCATTATTCTTTTGACATTTTAATTTAATTTATTTTACTGCTATAGAAATTGTACCCATTGTTTGTTCTTGATCATTTTTCATTAATATACAAATTTCTTGGCTTTGAGAAACTAATCCCAACTTAAAAGTTGTTTCTATTTCACACACATTACTGCCATTTCTGGTGAGAATACAATTCTCGCTTTTTGCATTTAAAATAGGAAAATGGGTAGTTCAACCAAAATTCGTACAATTGCAGTAAGACCTGAACAACATCGTTAACGTACATCCTTTCGAAACTGTGGGAAGTTCACTTTTAATAAACAGTTCTGTTTACAAGCCGTTCCTATAAGTAATTAAAAACGATTCAAAAAGCACTAACCAAGAATAAATTTCCCAAAAATTAGTAACCTGGAATTTGCAAGTATTATAAAAAGTTTCAACACAATCAATTTCTTTGATCATCTTTGAAAATGAATAAGACTTGGAAATTACAAGAGTTTTTTACAATCAAGGACCTGCATTACTAGTTTGTTGTAGGAACTTTTTAATACTGTATTTTTGGAATTATAATTCACTAGTAATGAAAATTGGTATAGAGTGAAAAAAGAAGTCTTTAAAAAAGAGTGATAAACAATGGTATTACTGCGCTTCATTATTTTTTAGCTGATCTTATCAACACTGTGACGGAAAGAGCAAACGAAGAAGAAGTAACAGAATCTTTAAAGCATAACACGCTGTAATGAAGGCTCATGGCAAACCAAAAGTTCAAATAGCGATCCTCAAATTAGTCGCTCTTTTTCAATAAGTTGAAATGACAAACAAAAGCATAAAAAATACGTTTAGAACAAATTTTTCTCATCGATTACTTACTGCAAATGTTATGTGTTTCAAACAAAAATTTTTTATTTGTCTGTACTATTTTTCGATTCAACAATAAAAAGTGATTTTCCCGTAAATTAAAATATTATTAGAATACAGTAAAAAAAAAGCTGTTTACTGAAAAGAGCATAAAACTCAAATACATATATTTTTAATTTTGTTGCGCTAAAAAATTTCCATTTTTTTTAAACTTTTCTTTTATTACGTCTTCTCAAAGAACAAAACAGAGTTTTTATTCCTGTACAAATTTAATTAAATCGTTTAGCCAATATATGACAAATATTTATGCAAGTAGTAAATTTCATTCATGCGTAACTGTTTACAGTCATTCAGTGTCACGCAAAATTGCACTTTTTAGAAAATAGAATTAAACCGCCACTTTATCTTCCAAAAATTTGGTAAAGAGAACTGCAAAGGGTTGCAGTAAAACACTCATTAAACTGTAATCGACAACTTCTTTTAACTGCTGCGTCAAAATATACCTGATAAGAACTTAAGATTACAAAAAAAGGTGATAAGCACAAGCAAAATGTTTTAAAAAAGTTGAAGAACAATGTTTGTTTCAAGCATAAAATATCTTAAGAAACTTAAAATACACTGAAAATGTATACAGAAAATTTTTACAGTTCTTAGTAATTAACAGTTCAAAAATTTGCTTTAAATTTAATTTTTTAGACAATAATAGAAAGGAAAAATTAAAATAGAAAAAAGCCAAAAAACATCTTTACTTTTATAAGGTTGAAGCGATTCCAAAATTTCTTATTTTTTTCACTTTAAAAAAAAAAGCACATTTCTAAAGTACAAGGGCACCAGGCAAGTTTCAGTTAAGAAGCATTATAATGTTATTCCAGCAAATTCTGTCTCCTGGATGACAAAAAAGAGCGAAAAAAAAAACATTTTTAGTTTTTTATTTGAAACTTTTATGTTACAATGACAACTTGTGGCAAACTGACAAACTACTTTTTCATTCAGTGTAAACCATAGCTCCGCTCTCCCATTTTTGCAGCCTATGTTGACATGTAAATCTTTAATGGTTACATAAATACATTTTTAACGCTGTAACCATTTCCGAAACATAAAAATGCAGGTGATATCAAAACATCGAAACCACTTTAGATACTATATAAATCTGACATAGTCTTCAATGCAATATTATACCTCGGTACCGTTATACAATTCTGTGCAGATGCTAAAGCTTCTTCTCTTTATAGCTGTTCTTGCAGTTGCCGCGACTGCTGAAAGACGATTTCGTCCCCAACCAAGGAATGACGCACCTTTTGAAAAAAGTAACCAGCAGGAATTTCAAGAGTTTTTTGGGAACAAAGAAAACGAAATAAACAATTTCGACAGAAGGCAACGTCAACCAAAAAACAGCAATGGTTTTCAAGATGAAAAACTCAATGAAGAATTTCCGCGTGGAAACGATAGGGATGAATATGGAAATAGAAGACCTAACAGAAGACCCAGCAAAAAATTTTCGCGAGAAAGTGATAGCGATGAATCTGCGGAATCAAGATCTTACAGGTTTCGTGAACCCAATCAACGAGAAAATAGACCAAATTATGAGCGATTCCCTCCTAATCACGGCCACAGACCTTACCGTCCACTCCCACCACTCTTCGCCAACGTAACCAAAGAAGACCTCAAAACATTTTTCAGTATTATGAGAGACCGTAATCTCACAAAAGAGGAACGAGATACTAAATTGCGTGATTGGGCGGAAGCTCAGGGGACCGAATTTGCTGTAAGTTACCACATAAAAATCAGTTTTGAAATTCATAACGAAATTTATTTAATATTTATGTCTGAATTGTATACAAGAAAAAACAATCTCTTTATTCTAGGAAAAATTTGAAAAGATGAAGAAACATCGTGACGAGTTTATAACCAGAGCTAAAAAAGCAGAAAAAGAAATTCTTGACGACGTTGATGCAATGATGGAAAAAATGAGTAAGATAGAAAATAACATGCAGCTTACAAGGGACGAAAAAAAGAGCGCTGTAAGTTTTAGTAATGCTTTTTTTCTTTCTAAGAATTTGCATTCCCACCAAAAATATACACTAAAAAGCAACGCTCTTCTGCAGTCAACGGTTAACAAAATAAAAATTTTATGTTTTCAGGTCATTTCACTGTTTTCGAGTTATCCAAGGCCTGTGTCCAAAATTGTGAAAATAGTGAAAGCCGAAGCTCTCAAAAAAGCTATGTCTTACCGTCCGTCATCGACTGAAGGCGCTCCAATGGAAACGGGCTTCACAACAACCCCTTAAATTTCATTTACAAAGAGGATTCTCAGTGCTGATGTATAATAAATTGTAGACTAGTAATATCATGAGAAGAAAAAATGAACTTTATTTATGTGAAACTCGATTACAAAATTAAATGAAAGATAATTGTACTTTTTTTTAAGACGCACCAGAATAGCAATAGGCGATGGTTGAGTGAATGTGTCAGCAGTGACTACCAAACACTACTGCAAGCTGCTTATAAATTAATTAATAAGAAAAGTTAAGCGTGGAACAAGTTTATAAAAAGTGAAGACGTTTCAGGTGCTGACTTAAAAATTTGAAATAATAACCGAGAACTGACAACATCGAAGTTACTACTTACTCCTCTTTTGCTATACTTCGCATAAGAATGAAAGCTCTTGGCCACGTTGAAAACCTCAATCATACAAGCGTACATATAAAGCACTGCGAACAAAATAATAATAAGAAACTTAGTTGACAAATATATCACTTTCCTGTTGATACCGTTGAGCGCTTGTGAAAAGTTAATTGAATACTAAGCGAAAAGAATTCAGTGAATCATGAAATTATATTGACAATAATGTCCTCTCGATACATTGTGACCAACGGCCGGCGTCGAATTTCGCCTGTTCTTCCTTAACTGTGAACCACTCTTTTACGCTTTGAGAATTATCAGTCAAAGTGGGGCACTTCTAAAAAACAACATCTGTTCAATTTCGAGCATCTCTGAAAAAAGCTCATTCATTTTTCTGTTGAAGGGACACTGTTCCAACACTGACTATAATCTTTTGCAGCTAACCTAGCAGACGCAGAAAAAGAAAAAAACGTTCTTGTCATCTTTTTCCGTCACAAAATGTACATGCTAAACTATTTCAAAGAAACACTGTAAAGTTCCTTTTGTAGTCTTCATAGAAGTTATATATGTTTTTTAAACTATTCCTGACTAACCAACCCACTTTTATATTTCTGAAAAACCAAAGCTCGACTATTCCGGTCTTTTATTTGGTCTTTCCAAACGCTACATAATTTGAACAGTGCTGAAACTCATGATGCAGTAAAGCAGAAAAGATTGCCACGAAAATAATTTTAGTGCTTCCCTAGTGAATAACCAAGACTATGTCTCCCTCCCTTCGACTGAAGCTGTGTTGCAAGAGAAAAAAAAATAAAAAAAATAAAAGTGAGGCAGCAGAAATAACCTAACTTTTTATTGTTAGTACTTTGTCAATCAGTCCCTGCTGCGACGCAAAAAAGAGGAAAGAATTCAAGCTAATTAAGCTAGAAGAACTAAATGGCGCCAACGCGGAAACGGAACCTTAGTCGGGTGGTTAGCATGAATGGCTTGTACAAAAGACCAAAAGACAATTACCACCATGCTAATGCCACCATAAGCTGGTTAAGAGGAGGTAGCGGAAGCATAAAAGGCCTGTTCGTTTTAGCCTTTGCCTTAGAACCTGTACGGACTACTGATTGCTGATTGATTTTCTGTAAGTTTTCATTCTTGGCTGTTGCTTGCTCTCTTATCTGGCTTACCAGATCTTTGACTCACGGTGGGAAAATTCTTTTACTTTTCTGTTTCCAATAGTTTGTTAATGTTCTCAATATTGTTGTTGTGTTAGAATATTTTTATGGCTGCTTCTCATTAATTTTTCTTCTCTCTATAATTGTCTTGTCTAAAGCTTAGAAAGTTCCTTTTGTTGTTAACACCTATCATTTTTAATTGTGAAATATCATTTGTGAATGTTATTAGGAGGGTATGTATGGGGCTTCAAAAGACGGTATAAGAAAGATAAACTCAGAAGATATTTCGGTCCTTTGTCTGGGCATCTGCCTACTCTATTAGACATGATAAAAGAGCCTCAGCCTAAGCCTAAGCCCTTCCCCGTATTCGCTATCGCTAAATTTCTCAACGGATTTCTGTTTTATTTTTTGAACAAGGACTGTTGTATCCGTGGAAGCAGTGTCGGTTTTAAGTTTGTGTGTGTGTATGTGTGTGTGCTGAGGGTGTATTTTAGGGAGGCGCTAAAGACGTTTTTTGAAGATGAACAGATGTGGATTCAGATCCACTGTCACAGGTAATCAAAATAATTACATGGTTAGAGTAAAAAGCAATTTCTCAAGTTGGTAGAGGGAAAAATGACATTTAGCAGTGCGCCTTTTCAAAGAATTCAGTACTTACTGAGGAATGGGTGTCATTTATCATGATGTCGTTCTAATATGCGACCGTTTTTGTACACGGAATAAAATGGTCAGTGAGTGTCCTGTCCTTTTCGCATTCAGTTCATAAGGGCTTTTGTAGTTTTTCGCTTTTCATAACTTAAATAAATTGAACAAGACTTCAATTAGCTTAAACTTGACAAAAAGAAGACGATGAGTAAACCAACAAAATAGACAACAGTTGCTCAGTCAGATCAGCAGTGCAGTGGCTTTGGCATCTCTTCAATAGTTCTGAGTAGCTTTGCCATGAAGAGCGACCACTTGCAAAAATTTTTCCCTTATACTGTATCTTCGTTTTTCATTACCACCACTTTCGAAACACTTTAGGTTTTATTCTAAAGAACTAATATCTTTTAAATAAAGCTTTATTCGGATAAAATATTAACATAACAGTTCTTAAAAACAATTTGTTGCAATTTTTCATGAAAAGTTTTATTTATTTCTTTATTTTTTATATCAAGAGTAAAGTTTCAATGAATCAAAAGATATTTAAATGAATCATTGCTCAACAAAAACCACCTGAGAACCAATATGGGTTAAACATTTTCTGTTTACAATTCTCAAAAATCTGCTGTAATTACTAAAGCTGTATTGAAATTATTTTGTTACACAAAAATTGATGGCAACACTCCTAAATAAACAGAAAAAGTAACTGTAAAAATTATTTAGCTTTTACCTCTATCTATACAGTACATTTTGTTGGCTTACAAGAATTCATATTTAGCATAACGCAGAAAGTATGTAATAATTTGTAAAATTAAAATGGCCAGTCAAGATTCTGACAGTGTTATAAGCAACTATTGTACAGTTATACAGGTACAGTAAAATTTACAAGTTTATAAAAAATTTTGAAAGGTCACTTTGTTGACGTCGTAGACAATTGTTAGGGGCAGAAGTATTATAGATCAAACGTCTGTTTTGTTCGTAGGTCACATTTTTAACTTGCTACATGAAGCTTGAAAATTATCAGACAATTAAAATTTGGAGACTTTAGGCACACTAAACGTAGCTGCTGATATATAACAGCAAAATTTTGAAGTGAGCCAAAGTCATTTATGCATAGCTTAGGAAAAAGAAAACCTAAAAAGTGCAAGTAATTTTTAAACTAAATTTCAAAAATTTAAACATTCATTGCATTTTTAATCTTTCGGCTTTTGTCAAATTAATGAATCGTATCGACTATATGTAAATGCTTAAGAGTTTCAAAATCTTCTCATAGCTTTTTACTGCTATATGTTTATACTTACTATTATTGTCTCATTCAGGTCATTTATATCCATTTTTTATAGCCAAAAAACAAACCTTTATGTAGTTTTTCTTCTCTTTTCACTGTATTTTCCAAGTTTTGCATCATCATTTTTACTTTTTGACAAACTATCAATGGCATGATTAATAAAAAGATTTTACTTTTATTGACAATTAATCACATATTTGGGTCTGAACATTTGTTTGCATGGTAAATATATTCAAAGAAGACAATAGCAATGGAAATGACGATTTTTATAAAAATTTTTGTTGCTGGAAAGAGTGTAAAAAAGAGTTCAAATACCCAAAGTTATCTTTTGTAAAATACAAATAAAGCCTGAGAGATCAGTTATATTTAACACATCAGAAGGAAAAAAACAGCAACGTTTTTTCTGCTTTCCTGCTACACGGTTAGTTCGCACTGAATCTGACAGAGCACAAACAATTAAAACATATAAACTTTACAAATCGCTGCTTAAATGCAAAAATAATTGTTAGTTTATAAAAAAAATGGTTACATTATTTATGGTGCAGTAAAAATTTAGTGACTTTGTAAAACTGTTGTTTCTACAGGTAATCATATAATAAATTTATCGTACACTGCAAATTTCAACGTAATCTTTTGAATCTGATTTGGTTACATTGCTTTATCAGCTGCAGCCAGGCGCTTTAAAACAAAAAAGTATGTAGGATTAGTTGAAAATTTAAGGATATCACTGATGATAAAATAAGAACACGCGCGAAATTATGGTTTATTGTACATAAATGGTAGCCAACTGATGAATAGCCAATTTATTTGTTTTTTTTTTTTTTTTTTTTTTTTTTTT